TTCTTCTTCTTTTTTACTTCTTTTGCAACTTAAGCTATGCAGCCTCTTACAGCACCCAATACTCCTTATAGTATATGCAGGGCCCCGGTGCGAAACGTAATGGATAACTTAGTTTTTAGGCCTCATGGGCATTGAACCAACCCTTAGGGTTCAGACCAAATCAATTGTTCAATCCATGCATGTCTACCACTCACAAATTCAATATGAAAAAAGATATAAAATATATACGATATTTCACTTTCTTAATCATATTATGACCAATTCTCTACTGTCAATCAAACTGCTTGAGTCCAGTGGCGAGGAAGAGGATATACTTACAGTCTTGCATTTATAATCAGAGGCAGCAGCTAAAGATCTTCGGTCATACCATAAGAGTCTCCGGTGACTAGTTGTTGAGTCATCCTCCTCATCTTTTACAGTACATGGCAGCATAGTATCTGCAACCTTGAGTGGAATACAGATTCTGGCAATGTAACTCTGCCCAAAAGTCAGGAGTAGTGAAATAAAGCCCAGAATCATCAACTCTGCAACAATTTTATCAAAGTCAAATGCGTATCCATAACTGGATGTTTCATGCAATGATTCAAATAAAAAAAATAAAAAAGTATTTATAAAGTATAAAACATGATGAAAATGGTTTAATTTTTTAATCAAGTTCATCATTCTGCAAGATAGGCATGATTGCGGGTAAATGTGAACTGCATCTCACCTGCTTTAACCTTCTCCAGAGCTTCAAACAGAGCACTCTTGTGCCTATCCGTGAGGAACTGAATTGAAAGTTTTTTGAGGTCAGAATAAAGTTAATCAAAAGAGACGACATTGTCAAATTAATAAATTGTTCTTCCACCAAACAGAACAACACATCAACTTCTAGTTTCAAGAAATTAATTGTATGATAACTAAACCCAAAATTAAAAGAACATGATAATAAACAGTATCATAAATATTAGATTATCAATCTCATAAGAAGGAGATAAATGGGTAAATTTCATTAAATTTAAGAAAAATTAATATGGACCCTCAATCCTTTCGTTTAAATAAATCCAAGAACTTTAAACTTTCTTTTCCTCGAAAAACTTAAGAAGTCATTAATAATGAAAAATCTTCAACCAAAAAGAAAAATAGGGCGTTAATATAAACCAAGGAGTCCAAAAGAAAAAGACAGCCCATAAACATAAAATTCAGTCAATGGTGGCAAATTTTCCTGCTCAAAGAAAGCCGGGAAAAACCAAAAACAAAACCACTGGGATAGCTGACAGTCAAACTGTGGTAAAAAAAGCTTAGGAAACTTGAGCTGCGATCTAAGATTTGCAGCAAATTAATAAGGCAGCCACATGAGAAGAAGAAAGTCACCAATGGACATTAAGAAACGGACCAAAGCTGAAAAAGGTAAATTGTTCAATTGCAGTTACAGAGAAGTTTACCGTTCCAACTTTGTGAAGGACCTTCTCCAAAACCAATGAGATAATGATGATAACGGCGCAGACACCAGAAACAGCCCATGTGGGTGTACGATCAAGCTCCCTCGACTGTGAGCTACTCTCTGATGCTGCCATAGCCACACCCACCAACCCGAGCCACAGGCCCAGACCCAGAGAGAAAGGCACCATCTTTTTGAATCTTGAGCTTCGGAGAGAGAACAGGGGAGGCTGTTCTGAAACCCGTTGGGCTGCAATTGATTGATTTTGTCACCTTTATATTGGGAAAAAAAAACAAACGTGTTTTTTTTCTTAGTTTCCTTTTCTGGGTTTAAGAGAGAGAGAGAGAGATTTTGATAAAAATGGGATGGTTATTTGGTGAAAATTTAAGGAGCAGTTCGATGCACACACGGTTTCTTTAATTATGTTATTGACCAGAAAAAAACCATTTCCCAAATTTAATTCCTTTATAAAAAAAAATTATTTCCAAATGCTAAAGCAACAGTTTTGATTTGGTGAAGGCTGGAAGCAATAATAGGAATCAATGGCTTTTGTCTTTTATAACGGCTAAACAAAAACATATGCAAATAAATAAATAAATAAAGAAGGGAGAAAAAAAGGTTGCTCAGTGTTTTACTGTATTAAGACAGGCTCGCTTGCGTTGTGCCATCATTTGTGGGGGAAACTTTATTGCCTGGTGTACTGCCATTGTCATCCAGCTGAGCTGCTGAGGTCAAATACTTGTGGCGCTTTCGTTTGGGTCACTTGCTCTGCTGACCAATTTGGTCTTTGCATCCACACCAGTGACTCCACATCAAAACAAAAATAAAAAATAAAAAAATAGAACAGAAAAAGGACATGCAGAAGGGTTGATGATACTGACCGAAAACAAAATAAAAAACCAACCAGTAAACCTGATGGCCTCAGTTTTCTGCTTTATTCCTTTTCAAGGAAGAGAAGAGGTACTGCATGCAAGTCGGGAACTTTTAGCATTTATCTTTACGTTCCCTGAATAAACTACCAAAGTAGAAAGAAATACATGCATCTAAAGTTTCTTTTGAGTCCAATTTGATGTTACAAATAACATGTAAAGATGGGAACTCTTTAGTACTATTTTAGATTACGACTTTTAAAAAAACCTTCACGAAATCGGGTCCTAGATTGAAGTAGTAATTCTTAGGTATAATTTTGTGCATATTTCTTTCATTACGTGAAGTTTTCCGTATTAAGATGACTAATAAACACAAATAACTCAATGATGAAGTAAATTTATTTCAATTCTTAAAAAACTTTGGAAATTTTATGTTTTACCCGATCATTTTGGGAACGTGAGGGGGTGAGGACACTTTAGGAGAAGTGACCCGATCCACGCCGGTGCATGCTCTGTTTGCTATTCTATTGGCTCAGCTGGTACTTCTCCATTTAGTCTAAAATGCCCAAAAATTTCCAGTGTGTGAATTTGTAAAGGTAAAAAGGAAAACGAGAAAAGCCCATGCATCATCGCACATGGAGGTTTGTATGAAATTGACCAAATGCAGAAAGCACATAGGTTTCAATTAGCTTCTTGTCGTTTCTATCTCTACATATTTTTATACTTACTCCAAGAAACTCATGTGCGTTATTAATGGTTTCATTTTATATTCTCAGATCCTCCATTTTATTTTTCTTATTCAGAAGTGAAGAAACGTGCATGAAAGCTAGGGCATAATATAATAATAATCATGGGCTCGAAATGGTAAATATGATATTTTCATTTCCCCTTTTATTTTTCTCTTTATGTGTTGCAATGAGTGATATATCGTAGATTCGTATACTAACTAGTTTTTAGTCTAATTAAAATGTTCAAAAATGCTTTAGTAGTTGATTAGAAGAAACCGTGACACGAAGTTGACATGAAACCAATTCAATACTTGACCAAGTTAGACCTAACACACAATCGATTATGCTCAACTTTTAAATGCTTCGTTTTTAATTAGTGTTTAGTTAACCATGTATAAAGTGCTTCAAATTTGCAACTTGATGATGACACAAAATAATCCCGCATGGCCTCAATGCTAATTCAAGAGTCGCACAAGTAATTCAGGTCCAATTATTGACTTAATCAAAAAAAATTATGTCCTAAAAATAATATTCTTATTTTTATCTCTCTTCTTACGTGATAGGTGATAATAAATTGATAACACAACAAAATAAATGGTACGTAGCAAGATAAGAAACATTGTTTTACCTAGCATATGGATGCTAGGAAAACATTAAACTGAATATTAATTTGGTTGAGGTTTCTTTTCAATCAAACCTTAAATTAATGCTAACGTGTGGTTCGGTTCATGACCATGGCTGAACCAACTCCAGAGTCTCTGACTCTTTCAGTTCTATCAATTAGGTATGGTCGGGTCATCACCCTCTCCGAGCAATATTCTCTATTAAATCATTTTAAGTTTATTTTTTTTCTATTTTTTTATTTATAAATGAATGTGAAATCATGCCAATCAGCCACCCGACACAACTTGACGCTATCCATTCACATTATTTTATACCATGGACCCACCCAGGTGTCTTCCTTTATTGGAAAAACGAAAACAACAACGATAGGTCAAATCTCAAATGCGGATGGAGGAGGTTGTGCGTATTGGTCAACGATTTATATATTTGATATTATGTACATCAAATTAAGCAAAACCCTAGAATCAATCAAGGGTTTGTAATGTGATCACATTGCTCAGAAATTGCTTGGTTGGCCCCATGTACTCCCCCATGACATGATCAATAAAAATAATTTTTCTAGAGGGTCGCAACTGGGGAGGGTCGAAACTGAAAAGAACCAATGCCAATTGAGTCATAAACCGGGTTGAATCGTTTCTTTTTCGTCATAATTTGGGTTCACCCGTTTCTTTTGGATCATGATTTGGGTTGGACCATTTTTGTTGGGTCATAATTTGGATTGAACCCAGGTGCAATCAAAATATCAAAAAGTGTGCAAAGCTTCCATGAGGAATGATCTTATCCTAGCTAGTTTTTCAAATTTTTATCTTTTTTTTTAATGCATAGAGTTGGGTAATATTCTAATTTGCGAGGCTAGTTTATTTTTTTGTTGATACAATAGATAGTACTTTAAATTAAGAGTATTTAACCTATAAATAAGAGGGCGAACTCACTATCGTATCCAAATAGTCAAATCCATGTACGCATGAAATAATTTTTAGTTGATTACTTAATGTGAACTTATGGATTTTATTACTTGGTCCTTGATTTTTTTTTGGGGGGTCACAAAGAGGCTCAAGGCCCAATGAATCTAACAACAAAAGGATTTGGGCCAAAAAGTGAACTTGGCCCATTTGGCCACTCCAGCCCAAGTGAAGTTAAGGCCTGAAAGATCTGAACCTCATCATTTTGATATCTAAATGTTTTTAAATAAAAAAGTTTTAAAATGTTGTTAATATTGTCTGGTCTTGAAGGTTGGAAACAAGGCGATAGTTCGATAATATCGAAACACGAAATTTGTATTCGCTGGAATAGCAAGTCGTCAGTCTCTCTCTCTGCGTTTCTCTGTTTCTAAGCTTGTGTACTGTGAAGTTGAAGACGATGAGTGCTCTACCGAGCTCGTTCGTTTCAGTTCAAAATCCCAAAACCCACTTCTTAGCTGGTAATCATTTCATCATCTTCGTTTTTTTTTTTCCCCTTCTCACTTGTGTTTATACATTAAAAGATTGTAATTTAGTTGCTGTGATGTGTTGGTTTATGTAGTTAATCGGATCACTTCCTGAAATTGTAGATTTCTCAGCCTTTGTTGATCTAGCAAATTAGTCTACGAGCTCTTTTATGGGTTTGTTTGTTTAATGCAAGCTAAGGCTCCATTTGTGAAGGATTAGAAACTGAAATGTAAGAGATACCCATTTTCTAGTTCTCTGATTTTTGTGGGTCTATGTGAATTTGATGGTTTCCTTTTTCATTGGAAGAGTCCTATGATTCAATCCCACCTTCTGTTACTTTTCTATCAATAAACCAATTGTCTGTACATGCTACCTTACTTCAGTTAAGCAGTTAAACATTAATTTAAAGGGTATTATTAGATTAATTTATTGGGCATATAACGCTTGCAAGTTGTTAAGTGTGAATTAGAGGTGCATTGGTTGGAACTTTTGGATGCACTAGCTGGTATTTCTGAGCTTCTTGGTCCATCTTTTTTTTTTTCTAGGGCATGTTAGTTGGGTATTTAATTCATTCTCTTTCATCTTGGATTGAACTCAATACGTTTCATGAGACTCTGTCTACGATGTGTAAACATTGCATGTTGAAGTTTTTACATTTGAATTTCACATTTCACATTTTTAATTTTTCAATTTTTTTGTTAATTATTGCCTAATGTTTGATGCTAGGTTCTTCTTCAAAGCCAATGTACCAGTGTCTTTTGAACGTTAGCCCCAGTAATCAAAATTCCACTTCATATAGAAGGCCTCTTGTTGTCCGAGCAGGGTATGCCTATTTTTATGTTTTCAATATAAGTTTCTAGCAGTTGCTCAGGAGATAGTATAACAGCTAACCATGAGTGTCTGAATGTTTCAATGTTTCAAGTTTAGTTTTTGTCTTTTAAATATCTCTTAGTAGACTAGTTCTTCTATTAATATTGTTTCCCTTCAATTCTGTTTCTTTTTGCTAGTACAGTGGGGACAGACCAAGTTCTGCGAGTATCTTTGTTGGTGGGTTTGTATTGGGGGGGATTGTTGTTGGAGCATTAGGTTGTGTATATGCGCCTCAGGTATGGTTGAAGACTGAAGTACTCACCTTTTGTATCTATCATAGTTTGACCTGTTACCATTGCATTAGGTCTCTGTGTGACCTCGACGGTTACAATCTCTTTGTGTCTGTATTTGCATTCCCTCACCTACATGTGCCTGTATGTGTGAATTAATGATTCATGATTGAATATCTCTTCATCGTCTATTGCATGGCTTTAGAATGTTACTGCAGTACTGCAGTCTGATTCTTGTGCCTATAGGACATAGATTCTGCCCCCCTCCTCCCTTCCGAAGTTTACCGGAGGACTGGGAAAGTCTTGTAGTTATCTGTTAAATGTTATATGGTGGTGTGTTAATTGATTATTGGAGATGTGCCATGGACACGGGCGGACATATTAAGGGACAAGAGGGGTTGCTTGAACCCACCAGTGGCGGATCTAGGATTCTTGGGTCATAGGGTCACAGTGTAAAAAATGTTGATTTTTTTTTAGACTAACTGTTGAGGTATTTTTAGGACAAATGAGTCATTTTCTATCCAATTATTTTTTTTTAAATTTCACATTAAGTAAAAGGAGGAAACAGGGGACTACATTAATTTAAAAATAAAAGAAAACAACAACATCATGGCGCACTTCCAAGAAGTTGTGTCGTGGTCTCTTATTGTGGAATCAGGAAGCGCGCCATGATGTTGTTTTTTAAAATTAATGTAGTCCCTCATTTCCTCCATTTTTTTTAATGTGAAATATTTTTTTTCTAATTTATTTTTAAAAACAATTGGATAGAAAATGACTCATTTGTCCTAAAAATACCTCAACAATTAGTCTAAAAAAATTCCGACACTTTTTACCCTATGACCCGAGAATCCTGGATCCACCACTGGCCATGGATGTGGTTTTTATGGGCTGTACAACCTGAAACATGCATTTGACTGGCATATCATCTTTCCAGATAAGCAAGGCACTAGCTGGAGCCGACAGAAAAGATTTGATGAGGAAGCTACCAAAGTTTATTTATGATGAAGAGAAAGCTCTTGAGGTGAGAATTTAATTGTTCTAGCAACGAGAAAGAAGGGAGGGGGGTAAAAATAGAATGAAAACTCTATGGTTAAGTGAAGAGGGGAATTTGACCTGTGATTTCTTAGGCCATTGGTGCGATGTGCACCAAGGTCTGGCCTTGAATTGTAATACATAAATATCTGCAGGGTGTTGATTGGTCAATCTCCTGAAGTATTTGATTTGAATCATGTTATCTGGGATGTTAATTATCATATTCGATCTGACAGAAAACCCGTAAAATACTGGCTGAGAAGATTGCACAGCTAAACTCTGCCATAGACGATGTTTCGGCTCAGCTGCATGCAGATGATACCCCAAATGGAGCTGCAGTGGCTTCAGATGAAGTTGAAGCTTCCATATAATAGAATGCTTGCAGAGTTTTTGTTTAACTTGGTACGTGTGTTTAGCAGTGGGAAAATAATGTTTCAAATCTTCTTCCCGTGTGTTTTTCTTGTTCATAAATACGTAGAAAACAGCAGCAATTGAAAACCATCATAGTTGCTGCAACACTGTTTGCTTCAACACTGTCAATTACTTCTCACTTGGTTTTTGTGGATAGCAAGCTTCTCGTTATTGTACTGCACTGGGCTATGGTTTTCAAGTGGTTCAGCATGGATCTTATGAAAACTACGGCGTTTTAAGTTGTAATAAAGGATCTTCCTTCAACGACATGTCGTTTAAACTCTGACTTGGCCCTATTGCATCTGGGTTGCCAATGGGCCCAAAAGAACAAATGCCCACCAGGTACAAAAAGAAAACAATTTGTAGCAAGTATAAATTATAATGACTCCACATGATAGAACACGCATCTTTGGTCTTCCATTAGAGTTGTCAAATATCAAGAATATACAAGAGCACATCTCCTCAATCCGATTCCCTTGTACACTCATTTTAGATGGGGTGAATTCTTTTGTGTGGGTTGGCTTGATCAGTTGAGCAGGGCACTTGTATTTATATGCATCTACTTAAGAGTCTTGCCCATCAAGAAACTCTTGAGAAGTTTTTATTGTATTAGGTTCATAACTTCTAATCCACAATTAAGATAGGAATCCTTCTAGCTCTTATATTAGCCTTAAAACACTAATTTTAATCAAGCTGCAGGCTTAGTTGTATTTGAGCTCCTAATTGATATCAAGTTTTATAATTCTTCGATGATTATAAGACCACACTTTAATGAGATAGACGTCTATATGTTTAACAGCAAGCCCATACACAGATCCTCATAATCCACTTGAAGATGAAAACCCAACTAAGATTCTAAAGTTAAAATTGCTTCTTCTTATATTTTATTATTTTATTATTTTCATTGGATATCAACTTTATAGTTTGCTTGAAAATGCCTATTTTCATAGAAAGAGAAATAATTAGGTATCTCTGGAGCTTGTAACTCAAATGATTAAGAGTATTTATCATTGTACTTAAAATTTTATCTCCGTTGAAAAGAGAGAGAGAGAGGACTTAGCATGCAGTAGTATTCCATGGACCAATGACCATAATTAAGCGAGGAAAGAAGAAGTAATTAATTAAATATATGATTATGAATGAGATGAGACAAATAAAAGGCTGCGAGCCTGCGACGCATCGTCATATGAAGGAAGCTTGACCGTATTCAAATTGATCATACTCTAATTCTCAAATTTAATAATAATCGTGTTTTGGGCTGTTACGTATATGCTTTGGTATGGTATGCATGTAAATAATATGCCATGAGTAATGATTAGCCCATGACGCAACACAAGGAGGAAACAAAGATGATCACAACATATACCAAAAACAAAACAAAAGATCACAACTCACTTCCCCACATAACGTAATCAAATCCTCCACGTTTATTTATTAAACAAATTAGAATGGATAGTTATACTCTCATATGATGTTATTAATCTATTGTGTTATAACATGTGTATTTATGTATTAATATTGTACATTAAGTTCATGAAATATCACTCATTATATTGCGCTAGAGTGAGGATAGAAAATAAGCCGAATACAAAGAAGAAATTTTTTTATATTTAAAATGATGCATATAAAAAAAATTAAAAAATTATTAAAAAATTAAAAAAAAGAAAGAGAAAAATGGCAGAAGAGAAAAGAAGTAGAAAAGCAAATGACGAAGAGGGGAAGAAGTCAGGTCAAAAGACGAAAAAGCAGCAAAATTTGATTAGGTTATTAGATTAAAAAACAAAAAGACTAGACAACACGTGGCAAGGAGGGGTAATCGAATATTTGTGGGAGTAGGTACAGCATTGTAAATCTTGCACCGGGCTGGCTGGAGCCCACTCCAGCCTATATATAGATCCGTCTTTGCGTGACAGTATGACCGTGACACTCACAAATTTTTGTTTTTCAGTTTTTCATATTCCACAAGTTTTTTTAAGGTTTAATTTAGTAATTGCAGAGAGGGTCCATTAATCATGTCCAAAAACATTTACTTGACAATATGGCCTCGCTTTGTCATCATGCAATTTAAATGTATGTACCTTAGACTTAGAGGAACAATAATCTTGTATATTGTAGAAGATGAGTCAGTGCCTAATAACATATATCAGCAAGTTGACCCACAAAATTGATAAATTGAGGGTTTATAAAAGGGAAATTCACTATTATGCTCAATATAGGGACTCAAATGATATATAAATAATAAAAAAATCATATATGAAATGAACTTTAGAAACACACTCAAAACTCATTTACAATATAACAAAGAGACTTCGAATATCCTATAAATTACAAAACTACCATTGATTTTTTAAAACAAGCCCAACTTCAAAACCTCGTAAAAAAAAAACCGAAAACACTCGCTAGGGCATCAAAGTAATTTAATATTTAAAATTAAATTCAATAGACTAATTGTCATTTTTTGAGTTTTTTATTTATTTGTTTATATAAATTAAATGATGTAAGATTTACCTATTTCACTAGTGATAAGAATACAACTAATATCTCTTTATAAAAAGCTTTTAGAGTGTGGATGGTTCAAAGTTCACACTCTTCTTAGCACGTGTTTCTCTTTTATGGAAGATACATGTATTTTTATTTTCTTATTTTTGGTGTTTTGGACAGATCTGTTGCAAACCTATATTCTTAAAACGGTATCATCACATGGAAATGGGTCCGTTCCCCTCAAATTATTTGATGAAATTATTGAAGGTCCACTCACATTGACGATACCTACCTACCTTTCTGCACATATGCGTATACACATAGCTCCTAACTCTCAACACCACCTAATAATAAAGAAATGTGCCCTGTCTACCAAGCATTTTATAAATTCTACATCACTTCGTGTGGTTGATTCAAATTTCAGGTGTCTCCTTGATGGGGATCGGGATCCGGACATAGGTCACCAACCACATACACGAGCATCGAAATTTAGGACTAGTGCAAACTCACATATATATGATAGCAAATCCATGTCACAAATAAACTATTTCATTAATCATCAACATAAACTCCCTACAACTATTACATTAACCTTATTTATAGGTTTTACAAGACTTGGGCACTAAGGCTACTTGGTCCAAAAGTAAACTAATTAATTATAAAATCACACTTATATAATAAAAGTTATCTTAAAACTACCTAAAATAATAAAATAACAATATATCATAAAATAACTAATTAAATGGTAAATATCTATCTTGATCCACCCCTATACTGTTGCACCACTCCTCCTCTCATCAGTTTGAGTTCACAATTATTTCATAGGTGTGTGTGATAAATTTTCTTTTTGTGATGAATATATGTAAAATTGTGATTCATATGCGATAAAAAATGACTTAACTAGAAAGCCAAGTAATATTTAGAAACCCTTCGAGCGAAACACGGCAAAAAGAAAGAATCTCCTGAAGTAATGATAATAACCTAGAAAATGACTACAATTTTACCCCCACTCATACAGGGTCCAACATTGACAACCAAATGTTCAAAGCTTATTACCCTTTTCTTTAAATTGGGTGGTTTGTCCAGATCCAATCCAACCAAACGTGGGTAAACTGGTAAAGGTCACATGACTTGCCAACCATTCATGGCACAAACGAACCGCCATTTAGGGTCTGTTTTGAATTTTGATCGAGACTTTACCTTTACTATAGCTATGTAGAAGTATCATTGCTTCACCTTTTTTTATATATACAAGGTGGCCATGCCAATCATCATCTGCTAGTAGGCCATTGATCTGATTGCAGGCTTACACTTATAATTAACTTTAATTGAATGACATGATAATGATGGGATTAAAGCTGCCCATTTGTTTTCTCACCTAAAAAAGTAAATGTATCATAATAAAATATCATAATATAAGAAAACTTCACACCCACCCACACAACAAGTTTGTCAAAAATACTTATTTAATAATTATTGTAAGGTAATATCAAGGTCATGAATATAAAGCAGCCCCACGTTTAAAATATGTAAACCAAATCCATTATGTTTCCAATATTGACCACACAAAAAAAAATATATATATAATAATAATAATAATAAAAGGATGTTAAGACAATAACCCCCACAAGTTAAGGGAATCATCAACCCCCGCTAGTTAAGGAAAGTGTCAAAGTATATTTCATAAGATTGCCAATAATACCTCAAAGGATTTACGGGTTGAAAGCCCTACATCATTTTGTTTGAGTCTTCTCCATATACACTTCATGAAAATGAACTCAATGTGACTACTGTCAAGGCTTTACAGTCAAAAAAATATTAGTTCACACTTACAAGTCTAGGTGCAAATAGCTCTATTTGATTTCACATTCTGAGAGCGAAAAATGTCGTTTAAGAGATACACCTAACACTATTATATTTGTCCACGTTCATAAACTACCAGCACATTAAATAGGGTAAACAAATTATTAGCATTAGTATGCATTATGAAGGAAACCAAGAAAAAAACATGATAAACAAAGCCTTCATGATTTAAACATGCAAGTCGAAATAGTAACCAACAATAATGAAAGTCCAAAAATGCTTTTCATATGAGTCTGGTTATTAAAGTCTTAGGCATCGTTTGGTTCTCGGAATAGATTTGAGGGAAAATCACTTCCCATATCATTTCTCAAGGAATAGGAAATGAAATATTCCTTTCATACATTTGGTAATGTTGGAAAAGTAATGGGGAGATTTCACTTTGTTTCATTTCCCATGTTTGTTTTGAGTAAGAATGGAAAACAAAGTTTGTATAATTTTTCAATTATACCCATATTAAATTAAATAAAAAAGAATGCATTTAATGATACATTGCAATTCTAAATTGTTCATGGGGACAAAATGGTCATGAAAAATGTGTATTGAATGTTGGCTCATTTTCCCAAATTTTCCCATAAGAAGGGAAAACAAAATCCAAGTTGAGAGGAGGGCTTCACTT